AGGAAAGGAGGGTTCAGTGGGCCAACCCTAGCCTCTTCCTCGCTCCTCTGAAGGGAGACACTTCTGCCTACCTCAAAGAATAGAAATCTATATAGGAAGAGGCTTCTAAGGTAGAAGATACTTCATTCATTCATTCCCTGGGGCTGCGGGGAGGTGTCTCATCGATGGAACAGGCCTCGCCTCTGTGGCCTTTACTCTCACCCTTTATTTATTTATTTTTTTCCTTTTTTTTTTTTTTTTGGTTTTTCAAGACAGGGTTTCTCTGTAGTTTTGCGCCTTTCCTGGAACTCACTCTGTAGCCCAGGCTGGCCTCGAACTCACAGAGATCCGCCTGGCTCTGCCTCCCGAGTGCTGGGATTAAAGGCGTGCGCCACCACCGCCCGGCTTACTCTCACCCTTTAAAAACAGCTTCTGAGAATGTGACCAACGCCCACACCTCCATACAAACTATCCACAGACTCCCACCACACAGACTTTTGTCCCCTCCCCTCCCCTCCCCTCCCGTCTATCTCTTGATTTATTCTCTGTCCTGACTATGGTCATGTCGTTCTGGATTCATAGTTCGATCTGGGACTGATAGAGGAAGGCGCCCCCTCTGGCTTTTGGGTCTCCAAAGCCTAACCCAGTGGAAAAATCCATTTATAACTCAGCTTGGGATGGCCTGGAAGGATGTGGCGGGGGCTGCCCGGGAAGCTGCATTCAGGAAGGAATGTGTGCAGGCCAAGGAGGAGCCCTGCAGGGCTCTGGCTGCTTCCTTGGGCCAGCTCCTGAGGTGGGGTAGACGTGACTGAGTCCTGGTCAGGTTTGCGGGGTCAGAGGTTTGAAAGGCTCTTGGAAGGAGCCGGTGAGACTCCGGAAAAGCTGTGTGCCCTTGGAAGGCAGAAGGGAACTCATGACAAGAAGGGCCTGGGCAGTATAAAAGTAGCCGGCGTCCTGTGTGAGGGAGTGCTGAGGCCAGGAAGGGGCTCTCAGGGAGTAGCAACGGAGAGGTTCTGTCCTTGTCCATATATCGCCTCAGAATAGGCTGCAACCCAGGGAAAGAGGGGCCTCCACACCGACTGCACTTACATTTCAACACTTCTGTATAGTGTGGACTCCATAGAACAGCAGCTCTCAACCTGTGGGCCATGACCCCTCAGAGGGTTGGCTAATGACCCTTCCACAGGGGTCACCTAAGACCATTGGAAAACACAGATACACTACGATGCATAACAGTAGTAGCAGAATTACAGTTATGAAGTAGCAATGAAAATAATTTTATGGTTGGGGGTCACCACAACATGAGGAACTGTATTAAAGGGTCGCAGTCTTAGGAAGGTTGAGAACCACTGCTCTAGAGATCTGATAAATATAAAAACAGCGACGGATCCGTTTCCATTAAAAAAACTTCTGAAATTTGAACCTCAAACCATGTTACAGGGTGTACTGCTGCCTGACCAGGGGCAGGTGCAGCTTTCTTCTTCTTCTTCTTCCTCTTCTTCTTCTTCTTCTTCTTCTTCTTCTTCTTCTTCTTCTTCTTCTTCTTCTTCTTCTTCTTCTTCTTCTTCTTCTTCTTCTTCTTCTTCTTC